GTTTAACTCCGTCGTCGTTAGATATTGATATCATCTTGAAATACATTTATACACTTCTATTTTCAGTCGAACAACCGTTTCATCCGAAATTTTTCTCTGCTCATTTGTGTTAAAGGTTGAATAGATCAGACTCGAGATACAAAAATCCAAGTCCGAGTCCGTAAAAAATCTTCCAGTCCGGACTCGAGTTCGGACTCAGGCTCGCCCATGCCTGCTCGTTTTTAGACATTCTTTTCATCCAGAATTAGAAAATTTATAATTCAATTAGAATCGATCCCAGTTATTCAGTCTGACTAAAATTTTAGCATAGACTCCAGTTTGTCTGCTGAACCTGGTCTTCCAATGAATCTTAGAAAAAAAGTGTTTGACTCACATTTTTCTCCGGAATCTTTCAAAAACCAAGGTATATTCTATGATTTTTGAAACTTTTGTTGAAATCCAGAATATGTGGCAGACATAATGGCGTACATGCTGAAGTTCTGGTAGAGTTTGGATCGATTTTAAGTGAATTATAAATTTTCTAATTTTGAATGTAAAAAATGGCTACAGACAGTAGGTTTTCACTAAATTCTTGAAATTTTCTTCTGAAAACAAACGTTACTACGAGAGTCGATGTGGTTGACTTCCGCCATAGTTCATCTTCTAGAAAAATATTTACGCTACGAAACCCCATTATTAAAAAACTTTTAATATTTCACTTTTCTGTTTAAAAAAAATGTGAAATAGATCGGTGCATGTCTAGTTTGGAGTTATTTGCAGTACTACATGAACAAATTAATAAAATCTTTTGAAATTATACCTACTGTCTAAACAACAGTATTTATTCGGAAAGAAAATGAATCTTACTGAAATTCTAGAATGTCATATTTTCTGTTCCAGTCTCGACGTCAATGAAATCAAAATGTTTTCCAGATTTTATTGGAATTGTGCTAATGAGAAAAATTTCGGATGAAACGGTTGTTCGACTGAAAATAGAAGTGTATAAATGTATTTCAAGATGATATCAATATCTAACGACGACGGAGTTAAACAAGAAGAAAATAATGGTAAGAAAAGATTTTATTTATAATCGAAACATATGGTAGTGTTGGATGAATATGTTGCTCAAGGTTCAAGTATACCAGAATGAGATACATTGTCTTTTAGTATCTGTTCCAAAAATTCAATGTCTTCAAGAGATTGAATCGTCGATTCCATACAAGGCTTCTTTTCTGTGATATCTCATTTTTAAGTATTTTTTAAAGAAGATAAAGTAAAAAACTAGATTTCAATAAGTTGTTCACTTGTTTGTTTGCACATGAATTCATCCAAATTCATTCGGATATGTGTTTTGTATGAAAACATATTTTTTTTTCCTTGAGAGTTAGTCATGTGTGACCTATGTTGCATCTGTACATTCAACAAAGGCCTTCTTATCCCACTATCTACTCTATTTAAATGTCTCTTAGCAATATAAAATCAATTGTTATTTTTGTCACATACCAGTGACAACTACAACGCTCATAATCTTTTTTTTATCGAAGGCAATATTTTGATTACTTTTACGACACTTTTACTAATAATGAATTAGTTTCAACATATATAAGAGAACATTAATCAATATAGTAAACAATCGGTGTGCAATTTGTTCATCAAATATTTGAAGATCTTTAATAGACTTCTAGTCGTATGTAGATGATTTTCTTGTATTCTCTCTATTACAATAGCAGCAGTAACAGACTCTCTATAGTTGTGTACTATACTGTCCATTCAAAAAAAGAATAACCCATGACTTAATAACTGAAGAACGGAAGCACTTAGCGACCTGCGGTTTTCACCATTAGATAGAGTGAAGCGTGGGACGTAGGCGTATATAAAACACGATGAGTCTACTGGTAAAAGTATACATTACTTACGGCTTTAAGTTTTAGTGAAAACTACAGTAAAATATATCTAGTATTTTTTAGACTAATAGTAACCAGTGGCAGCGTGATCGTTTGGGAGAGGACTGTACACCCCTTCTGCTTTCAGAAATTTTAGCAGAAATTTGCATCGATTTGAACTAAAAGTACGCGAAATTGAACATTTGCCGTTTTCTCGAATTTTCGACTATCTTTGCTTCAAAAATGCCATAGAATCAGCGAAAGCTCGTACAAGGTAGAATACCTCCTTCTCAGAGATGGATAAGTCACTAGACTAGAATCATTACTTGGTTTAAGCTATATTTATTGTGACTGAGAAAAAAGTACAGAATAAAAAAGAAAGAGACCGGAGCCCATGATATCATTTTTGACTATTTTGATGATATTACATATGTGTAAACTATAAAAAAAAACAAAAAGAAGGGTAACAGAAAACAAAAAACAACAACAAAAGAAAGAATCATTAGTTGGCGGGGGACTTTATGTACTCGTCGTATATGATTATGACATTTGTTCACTTAGCTAGAGAGTAAACTAAAATCCTAAAACAATTGATCATCGAATTTAATATTTTGTTTTATATTTTTGTTTTTCGTTTTTGAATACATTATATGAAGGAACAATAAAAAATGTAGTTTTCTTCATATGTCTACAAAGTGTGATGGTAACTGATTATAAAACAGTACGTCTGAAATGAAAAAATCGTGAATTTTGTATCATTTACATTTAACTTCATCAAAACTTGCTAGAAAACGTTTTTGAACTTACTCTGATTTTTGAAACTACAGTTCCCCTATTCCAACTTCTTCGCGCTGCCATTGACAGTAACTCAAACTCTGAAAGTTTATAGAAAATTAAATTGTGTACTATCTTGAAATGAATAGTCGATAGTCTCGTTTAATATTATTCCTTGTTTTCTTTAGTTTTGTATAATGTTTGACGTTATTACTTACATTGAACATTTACCAAATGAATTATGGTTTGAATATTTTGAATACCTTGATGGTTATGATATTCTCATGTCATTTCGTAATTTAAATCGACGAATTAATGATATTATCAATAATACTCAACTTCATATCAATTTATCAATTTTATCCAAATCAATGTTTGATCGTCTTTTAAATCGATTTATTCCATATATATCAAAAACACAAATTATTTTATTAAAACTTTCTAATAAAAATAATTGTGAACAAATTTCTTTATTTAATTCTATAATTAATATTAAAAAATTTATTAATTTACAAACATTAATTCTTCATGATATTAAATTTTATGAATTAGATGAATGGCTATATTCATTATTAGAATTAAAATCTCTTAAAAGTTTAACAATTGTAGTAAAAACGAGAAAATGTTTTAATCAAAAAGATAAAAATATAGGTGAAAAATTAAATCATATTTTATTCAATAATTATTTTACAGAATTAAAATATCTTCAATTAGGTATGGATGAATAATGAAAACTTTTTCAAATAATTTAATAATAGATAATTTTTTTGTTCTGTTTTTTTCTATTTATTCTAGATGGTTTCGAGATTGATCATGAAAATGTTCTGCATGATGTTATGAATGAATGTAATCTAGAATATTTGATATTAGACAAATGTCAATTCAATTATTTACTCTTAATATTGAATCATTTACCTAAAATTAAATATTTAAAAATAAAATCATTAACCGGTCGTTTATTTCGGTCACCACATGTAACGAAAAAGTGAGCCACTTTTCAGTATGTCTCTATTGTCCATTGCTAACAAAAGAAAAACAGTTAATGACATATTTTACTTAGGAAAAGAGAAAAACAATGGCAAAGATGAAGTGTCTAACTCATCGAAATTATTTTTGTTGATTAAATTGACGTTTGATCCAGATTATAAACTATGGAAGAAAAAAATTAAAGTATTTGTTTTTTTCATTGTTTCATTTTAGTTTTGTTTCTTGTCTAATTCATTTACAATTAGATGATTGTACAAGTATATGGTTTTCACAGTTAGAATATTTATTTAAATATATACCATATTTAAAATATTTAACATTTACATCGTTCAATTCACATTTTATTAATGGTGCAGAATGGGAACGATTATTACGTCAATATTTTCCAAATTTGAAAAATTTTTCATTACATATTCAAGCAACAGATAATAAACCATTTGATATAGAGAAATTATCTTGTCCATTCAAAAGTTCATATTTTATAGATGAAAAACAATGGTATTTTACATTTGGCACTGGTCAATATATCATATTCCATTTGTTATCCATTTATTCCATACCTTATCAAGACAAGACATATAAATTAGATAATAATTTATTAAAGTCACTAAAAACAAATGAGCCATTTTTGACAAAGTAAATAATGTATTTATTTTTTTATAGATAAAACGTCAGACTACACATATTCAAGAACAACTACTACAGAAGAATCTTAGTCGAAAACATCGAATGGAAAAATGTCAAAAGGAAAAAACATCGAAAAAAATTAGGGAAGGAAGATCACAAACATAAAAGAAAATGTAGTATCGCCTGATTCATCTAGATTACTGGATTTTACTCGATTGCAATTATTAGTAGAAATCTAGTAATCGGGCGATTGCTAGATTTCTCCTCTATTGGTTTTTTATCGCCCGATAATTGACCGAATTAACTAGTACTAGTTGCACATACAGACGCATCTAGTTAAAAGTCCCTATTCCAACTAGTAATCTAGATGACAATAGAGCAGATACGAGTACTTGTGAGTACTTGATGTTGTAAAACCAACAGCGTTCTAATTTGTTGAGAAAAATATGCTTCCACAGACCTCATTCGACGCAGATTTTGATGCTCTATAAAGTGAAGCGAACTGCAGTCTAATGCAATCTCATAATTCTCGAAAAACTTTAAAACATCTTGAAAAGTACTTGTACATGGCAAGTACAAGTGCTTTTGCGATTATTTTAAATTTATGTACAAATTAAAGTGTTAAACAAAAGCTACTTATATGTCACTTTATAAAGCATCAAAACCTACGTCGAATACGGCGTATGAATGCATATTTTGCTCAACAAATTAGAACGCTGATTCTTTCACAAAATCAAGTACTCACAAGTACGCGTATCTGCTCTGAACATCGCTCGATTACAGACGAAATGCATCTCGATTTTACATACACCGATAATTTTTACTTGGGATGTCGAAACGGGAAATGTGGAGAAGGAAAATGTCGAAAGGAAAATGAAAATACTGAATTGAAAAGGTTTCTGTACTGTGATAATGAGTGAAGAAGATATTTTATTATAGTTATTAGAGATTTTTTTTACTATAGCAATTTTTATCTAAAAATTTTAAAAAACAGAAAATACATAATAAGATGTAACGAATATCATCTCATTTTGTGCATTCATTTATTTTACTTTCGACGGCGTAGCGCACACATTTATTTTATCACAGATCTTTTTGTCATGTATTTTGTAAATATGTGAAGTGTATTTTCAGTTTAGAGACGAGGAGTTTTAATAAAATAAAACATGATAAATATATATCTTTTATATTGACCATGGTAGAGTTCATTTAAATGCTACAGACATCTTTTCAACCTTTCGACATTTTTCTTCTATTTTTTCGATGTTTTTCCATTCAACGTTTTCCGTCAACCCCTACAGAAGAGTGAAATCAGTTCCTTTATAAATAATTCTCAAATAGTAAGACAATTATTGATCCTTTCGTCTGTAAGAAAAAAAAGTATTTTATACAGGGTGATCCAAAAAAAACTTACCCCCTGTGTATTTATTGACTTTCTTGTGTACAGATATAATTGAACTTTTTACCATTAGTTTATTCGAATAGAGCAAAGATTTCTGGACAAAATGAGACGTCT